GGGAGGGGAGGGGGGGTTGCAGGGTGATATGGGGTGCCTATCAAAAGCTTAGTCAGTGTATGTTGTTTGCATGTAGGTCTAATACGTAGATGTGCATGTATGCAGGGAGAGACGCGGCGAAAGGTAAAACTGCAGGAGATGGAGGGAGACGGGCGATGCAGGCGTCTGTCGCTCCTTGCAGCACCACAGAGAGGTTTTCTGGGGGAAATTTTCATGCAATGTTGCCTCCGCGTTCTCCCCCTCTCTCTTCCCACACACACTCTTCATACTCTGTCTGCCTTTTTCCTCCACTCGCTGCCTAACTTCTTCATGATGCTTTATGTCTCTTCCCCAGACTTGATTCTTCCGTGTCTGCAGCCGTCATTGATGTTTCTGCAAAAGCCACGGCGACCCGGCAAACTCCAAACTCAGATGCGACTTCTCTTGACCGCAAAATAGAAAGAAAAATCTTTGTTCTTTTCTCTTCTCTTCTTTTGCAGTATATCCATCCCTGTGCAGCTCGATATGGGTCCAGGTCTGAGACATGTCCACTCCCGAAAATGCAGAATATCAGAAGTGTCCATCGTCCGCCCCGTCGTGCGTTGAATGCCATTTTCACGGAAACCAACAAGCGCAAGGATGATGACTTTTGCAAAAGAGTAAAAAAGCTCCGTTGATGACTTTTCTATCTCCTGATTCTGCCCTTCTTTCCTTTCCTTCCCCCCCTCCTTCTCCTCTGCTCTCATTCTGCGCTCCTTACCACTCCTCTGGCTTTTAGACAATGCCCCCAAAAAAAAACGATCGTTGCATCAGAGTGTAGTAGAGTGCAGCTGTGAGAGTGGCTGAGTGTGTGTGTGTGAGTGAGTGTATGTACGTTTGTGGGCGAGTTTGGCGTGTGTATGTCTGTGTCTGTGTGAGAGTGTGTGTCCGCGCTCTCAATTTGACTCTGCCGCACGTCTGGGTCCTGCAGTGGTACGTTGGTACTTAGCTGGCTCTGTCTCGCTGCGAGTTTGTGTGTGTTTATGTGTTTGTGTGAGTTCGTCTGTGTCGCCATGACACAGCAGATCATCTGACCTGCCTCCCCACTCTCCACAGCGAGGGATGTTGGGAGTTCCTGGGGCGTGGCGTCGCCGGCCTGACCACACCTCCGTCTTACACTCATTCATACATCTTTTCTCTTCATCTGACTCCCGTCGCTTGACAGAACCCTCTGGATTACAGCGGCGGGAGAGGAGAAGCGAGGATTCCCAAATTTGCTTCGCTCTTTTCTCATCAACTTATTTTCTTCTTTTCCTGCTTTGCATTTTCACTCTTCATTTTACCTCTGGTTTGTTCATGTTCTCCCGTCAAGGATGCTCTCTCCTGTTTGTCTTTACATTCATGTTGACTCACTTGCTCCACTTCTGTCACGCTCTCTGTTTCTGTGTCTCCTGGGACACACAGACGGAAGGGAGGACATAGAGATCAAGGAAGGAAGAAGTTAAAGAATTGCCTCAACTTAACTTTTTCTGCCTCTGCATCTCCAAATATAAACTTGATCATCAAACGTACTGAAGGAAGCAGAAGAAGAAGACGGCTGGTGTACAAAATAACATGTACACCTGTGCAATGTAATGGAATCCATTGCAACAGCACTTCAAAATAAGGCCTCAAAAATCATGAAAGAGGTGAACCGACCTGCTCCAGCTCCAGCCTTGTTATATTGGATTGCATTATATTGTACAGTGTTTCCTGTTATTTGGTCTGTTTACCCGATTCAGAATATGATTAATGAAGGAAGGAAGGCATAAAAGCAGTTATCTTATCTCCCCATATGTCTGCTTTCACTCTTGATTGTCAGAGTCGAGGAAGAAAGACGTACCAATGCGAGGAAGTATTAGGGACTGTGTGTTCTGTGGCAACTTAAAAATAACTGGCTCGCTTGGTGTTGTTGTGTAAGGGCTGACAGCAGTAGGTGGGTGACATTGTGAGATGGCCACCTGCACTGTCTGCCACATCCACACAAAACATGGAGAGGACAAACTCTGTGGATGAGTCACACACAAGCAGAGAAAGATAGAGAGAGAGGGAGTGAGTGAGTGAGTGTGTGTGTGTGTATGTGTGTGTGTGTATATATGCAAATCAGTGCTTAGTCTTCAGTTTTTCTGTTTAACTGCAGGGTGGAGGGGGACTTCCCACTGGTTTTCAAACTTTCAGTCCCTGGAAAAGCTCCAATTCAGTTAGCTGTGGACACACACACACACACGTACTCCCACACACACAGACACACACACACACACACACGTACTCCCACACACACACACACACACACACACACACACACACACACACGTACTCCCACACACACACACACACACACACACACATACACACACACACACACACAAAGGCCTCATTGTGTTTGACCCCGGATGACGAGCATGCAGGTCAAAGTAGCACGTCATTCCACAGCGGCTGAAAAAGGCAAGTACATGGTAATGAGTGCCTGTGTTTGACTGCACGCAGAGACACACACGCTCATACGCACTTGTCTTTTCAAACGCAGCTCGCTCCCCGCGTCGTCCATCTCCATCTCTTCGCTTTCCGTCACTGGATTCTTAACTTCACCCCTCGCTTTTATGACACATCGTGACGACTGTGAACACTTTTTTTTTTTTCAGTCCAATCCGCCACAGCCTTGGTTATAATAAACCCAACTCCCCTGCAATGAGACACACACACACACACACACACGGTCATGTGCTGTACGCTCATTTAGCCTGCAGTTTGCTCTAGGGTTAGCCTGACATATTGGGTTAATGTTTATGTTTTATTAAAAAACGCATATTAAACAGTGTGTCAGTCAGCTCGGAAATAATGGAGAGGCCTACCTCGCTGCAGTTGGAGTAAATGTTTTATTTTTATTTTTTAAAGCCTTTAAAATAACTTCACTACTGCAGCTTTTAATGGAGTGTGAAGGTTAGCAAAATGCTATTTCACAGGTTTATCCGAGGTGGTGAGAACAAAATTCTGTCATAAAATCCCAGATAACCTATTTTTTTAATGCTTTTATACATGAAAATGCTCTGGATCTAACCCAGAAACATCAACATCAGCACATCGTCATCTTAAAAAACCCACAGCAGCTTAACTTCAGTCACCACATACACACTTTTAAGAAGTCGCTGTAAGAGCCCCAGTCTCCCACAGCACTCTCTCATAATGACACTATCCCTTTAGGCGTCAACAGAGCTGAGACAAAGCGCCGGTGTATTTGGGGTAAACACACGGCTCCGGCAGCTCTGAAGATGACAAAAGCGATAGGACAGTGTGGTGAGGCACGGTGTCCCGCCGCTGCTGGAGCCGTACATCTGCCAGGGACAGAGTGGAAAGCTACCTGACAGCTGCTTCTCACACATCAGATAAGATTACAGGTATACCTGCTACACCTGTTTAAACAAACCTACGTGCATGCCACTGTGTGTGTGTGTGTGTGTGTGTGTGTGTGTGTGTGTGTGTGTGTGTGTGTGTGTGTGTGTTAAGCCTGGGTAGAAGATAGAGAGAGATGGCAAAGTAATCTAGTGGCAGGTGCATGCTTGTAATTGAGGCAGCTAAAGATATAGACTGATGAAAGAGCTCATTATTATTTATGTGTTTGATTTATGTAAGCACAGAGGGGGGTAAAGAGGTTGAGCTCTTAAATTTTAAAGAGTTTATGAGTTTTTTTTAGCTTGACATAAATCTTGTCATGAATTAAGAATATATTATATGACTGAATAGCTGATGTTATGTTTGAGTACATTAAATCTAATCAGACAACAGAAATAGATTTTTTTTATTTTTAGTTGCTGCTTCAGTTTCTCTTTGGAAACCATGAACAGAAGGACAGAGTCCTGTCGCTCTTTATTTATCTACCTCCACCCTGTGCTGTGAAGGTGGTGTGAAAAACACTTATGTCAGTCAGTTCTGTTGCAGGATTAAGGGGGAGCCTTCACTACCAGCTAATGACATCACCTGCATGATTTAGCGGCGGTGGCTCGCAGCAGCCGATCACAGGACGGAGATAAATCTGCTGTACATTGTTAACACACAAACACAGACATATACATACACAACGTACACCTCATCAGCTCCTTTTGGCTCTAGCCTGACATCTAGTGACACAGGCTGTAATGTGATCCTACATGACACAGACATGTTAACGCGATGGGGCTGTGTGAGGAGGAGCAATCTGCATTGTAGGAAGGTGCTGAAGTGACTGTGTGTGTGTGTGTGTGTGTGTGTGTGTGTGTGTGTGTGTGTGTGTGTGTGTGTGTGTGTGAGAGAGACACTGATACAAAATTCTGCCCACTTTCTTACTATTCCTAATTATTGCTTCCATGTTGCTGGTTTACCAAAACGCACTGATGTAGAGTGTAAATAAAAACCATCATCACCTCACTTACATTTGCCTACGCTGGCTGCTGTGATGTCATGGTGTGAGGTGGTGTCGTAACAGTTTGTAAATAACAGGTTGGGTGAGCTATGTTTGGGTGGGTGTACCCTCCACTACAGCTCTGCTCAACCACACTGCAGCCTGACTAACACAACATGTTGTGGCTGCTTTTGTGTTTTCTCAGCATTTCCTTGCCATTACACAGAATCTAAATTTAGCCAGTACTCATCCTCATGAAACTAATGTAATTCTAAGTATATCTTTGCAAGCTTCCCCTTGCAGCAGGGGAAAAGGACACAGTGTTCCTTTAAAACACACACACACACACACACACTTATATATATATATACACACACATACACGTACACACACCAAGTTCGTCTTTCTTCCAGTGGAGTCTGACAGGAATGAGGTCAGACACACCGATCCTCGTTGCACATTATTATTATTATTACCCGTTTTTTTATTCAGCCAATGGGAGGCCAGGGGGGAGTGGCTTCGGTGAAAAATCAGGATAGAGACAGACGCTGATTGGCTTTTATATCTCGCGATGAGGGTATATAACGGCGAGGTTCTCGTTGTTGTGTTTACAGTAATATTACAGAGCGCTAAGGAAACAGGGAGACTATGAGAAAGCGCAGCTGCTCCATTCAACCACATGGTTCCTCAACCGCACAGACAAGCTGCGCTGCAGACAGCCAGGTTCACATAAGGGACTTGCACTGCTGTTTCCCACAGCGGCGCGTTTCGAGTCTTGCAGGGCGAGTTTTCAGCCGCACAGGCAGTTGAAAGTTGCCGTTGAATAGATTCGGGATTTATTTTTTTTATTTCCGTGAAGCGCACTGGTAAAAGTTGAGAGACCAGGTGTCTGTAAAACGGGCTGAACTGAAAAGAGACAGAGAAGAGACTTGGATGAACTTTTTTTTTTAGATCTGTGTCCATCAGTGATCTCGCTCAAAGCGCCTGAAATCAGAACAAGTGAGGAGTAAGCCTACAAGTCGTTTTTGCGCACTTGAACTTTGTGAAAGCCCTGCACTGAACAGAGTGTTTCCAGACACTTGGAGGAAAGGATGGTGCAGCACATGAGCCAGACAGAGAGCGCCCACGCTCACTCCCCCGGCGGGGACTCCACGGACACAGGAGAAATGGACTTGGAGATGGATGCGTCTCCGACCCCCGAGTCTCCCTCCTCCGGGGTGCGGAGCGACTTGGCGTGGTGCAAGACTCCGACAGGGCACATCAAGAGACCCATGAACGCGTTCATGGTCTGGTCACAGATCGAGAGGAGGAAGATCATGGAGCAGTCGCCGGACATGCACAACGCGGAGATCTCCAAGAGGCTGGGGAAGCGCTGGAAGCTGCTGAAAGACACAGACAAGATCCCGTTCATCCGCGAGGCGGAGCGCCTCAGACTCAAACACATGGCCGACTACCCAGACTACAAGTACCGGCCCAGAAAGAAGGTCAAGTCGGGAAGCGGAGCGAGTAAGCAGGCGGACCGCGGGGAGAAGAGCGGGGAGCGCAGCGCCAAAGCCGGTGTGAAAAGAAGCCCCGCGTCCAAAGGAGTGAGCAGGACGCACAAACAGGGCAGCACGAAGAGCGCTGCGGGGCAGGACTATGCGTCTCCCGGTGACCACCAGGCGCTCTTCAAATCCAGGTCAGTGTCTGGGGCTCGGCAGATCCCGGAGAAGCGCACCGGAGAGGCGAGGCGCGGCCACATGTTCGGCGGGGCAGGCAGCCTGGAGAGCGGGCCTCCCTCCGTGGGAGTCCCGGCCAGTCCCACCCTGAGCAGCTCGGCGGAGTCCAGCGACCCGCTCAGCCTGTACGAGGAGCAGAGCCCTGCGGCCAGCGAGTCATCACACACCGCGCGCCTCAGGTACGCTCGCGCCTCCTCCCCAACACCGTCAGCCTCTCATTCTTCCTCATCAGTGTCATCCTCATCATCGGACGAAGAGTTTGAAGACGAGCGGCTCGACCTGAACTCGAGCCCCGGGTTTGAGAGCATGTCTCTGGGCGGCATGGGCTTCTCCGACGCGGAGCTGGACCGGGACTTGGACTGGAGCTTCGGGGAGTGCGGGGCGGGATCTCACTTCGACTTCCCCGACTACTGCACCCCGGAGGTCAGCGAAATGATCTCAGGAGACTGGCTGGAGTCCACCATCTCCAACCTGGTGTTCACCTACTGAAAGGACCACGGTGGAGAGGAACCGCGACGTCCCCCCACGTTTTGAACTCTTCAGCCCCCCCAGACCGGCGTGTGAGTCCAGACCAGAATATTTCCGCCATTCTTTCACTAAATAAGGGAGAGTGAAGACAGGAAAGAAAAAGGTGGCCTGTGTGCGCGTTGAAGCCCAGGTACGCGCAGCTCACAGACTTGGACAGCGCTCGGTGCGCTTGACGGGAACGCGCAGACGGGGGAAATGCTTAGTTTGCATTTGGACACAGAGGAGGAGTGAATGTAAGCAGAGAGCAGTGAAACACACGGACTTCAGCTCAAATGTTCAACCCAATCCGCCGAGGATGAGGACTGAGACCGAACTCTGAATCTTAATGTTATTTTGGGTCGGGAAAAGGGACACTTACTGGAGAGCTCGTCATGTTGGGTTTTGTTTAAGATACAGCCAATTCACATTGACCATCAAGTTGCTATTCAGGTGTAGTTTTTTTCCAAACTCGAAGTAGTTTCAATATCAACACGCATGCCCTCCGAGATAAGGAGGATTTTGTTGTGGTTAAATGCGTAAAAATTGTTCATTGCTGCGTAATTACGCAATTTGTGTGACCATAGGACACAATTCACTATCACCAGCTTCTCTTTCAACGGCAGGACTTAAAAACAAAGACTGACTCGAAACTTCAGAAACCCTTTTCTGAACCTTTTTAAACACTCAGTGCACAATTCAGGACCAATGTTCCCCGACGCGCATCCTTTCTGCCTAGTGCTTCAACTTTGTAGTTCCTCTGTGTCAGATGACGTTTTTTTATATTGATGTATTTATACCGGCCAAACTTTTTTATACATAGAAGTATTGTTCTCGTACAGGTCTCATTTGTGTTTGTGCACATACACCTGTCTGTATCCTGCGCGGAAGGGCTAGAAGTGTATCTTATTTAAAAATGTCTGACTTCTCTCACTTTTAAGGAGATTTGAGTGTGTCATGATTTTCTACTTGTATTTTTGTACAAAATCTATAGAAAGGGGGTTTTTCCGGCGAGTGGGTAGCCTACAACATTGTTGTTTGGGTCTACATTGGTGTTTAGACGTGCAGAGGGGGGTTTGTTTGGCACAATCTGACCTCACACAGTGTTTACAGTATTTACCCACATGCTTCTTAATGGCACAGTGACTCCAGTTTCACCAGCCAAGTAAACAAAGCGCCACTGAGGCTCCCAGCCTGAGTGGTGACTGTGTTTCCAGTACTACACATAGACCTAAAGTATATGAGTGAAAGATCCCAGAGAGTCACTGTTTGGATAGAGCTAATACCTCTGTGTGCTTTTTATCAAGATAAGTTTTATTTGAACCACTGGATGGAATTTCACACTCATTCCACTTTGCCTAGACTTCGGAGGGAGGGAGATGTATGAAGTGCTTCATCTGTTATTGCGCAAATTGCATCAAAAAATAGTATTTAACCTTTCTGTACCTGTTGGCTAAGTATAGCAGGCTAATTGTTTTCCTATATTATGGCATGGCAAATAGCATTTGTATTTCAGATTCAGGTATATGTAGCTATAGCTGTTGTGTTTAAGATTTTTAAAAGAATAATAACATGAAGATATTTATGTAAACTGACTGTACTATAAGCAAAGATTGTGTGTTTTATGTATGATGATGATCAACGACAGGCACTAGGACAGCCATCTTTGGACATCCTTATGTTGAAGATGATTGTGGTCCAGGAGTTTATTTTTTGTTTTTTGGGGTTTTTTTTACCTTCAAAACATCTTTTCTATTGTCCTTTTTCTTTTTTCATTTGTGCAATATGCTGTGTATGATCATGTTTTGTCCAATCATGCCAATATCATTTGATGTTTATTGCTCAAAACCAGCCAATGTTTGGGTCAATCACTGCCTCTCAGACCTCTGTACAGATTGTCGTTTTTTTATTTGTTTTTCTTTTCTTCCGAGAAGGAAATAAAATCAGCTGGAACTGAAAAGTACGTGTGTTTTTCCCCTCTTTCTTGTGGTCCCCACCCCCCACCCCCCATTATCCGGGGCCTTTAAAAGAGCAAAAGTAAGTACCATCCACAGTTATATGTCTGTTGAAGAGATAACTGGAGCAGTCTCAAACACTGAGCCCCCCCCCCCCCTTTTCAAAGGTGAAAGCATGCTCAACAAAAGGTGAACCTTCATTATCACATTCCATAGCTGAACCAAGCTTGTTCAAAAAGAGCTTCCAATCTGATGCTGGATGTTTACACTCTGTTTTGTGCATGCGTGCATGTGAATATGAATGTGTGCAATGTGCGTGTTTGCTGTAGGTAAGTGTGCAGCTGCAGACTGAATCAATAGGCAGCCAGTGAATCGATAGGAGTGGTCTCTCTCTCTCTGCCTCTCTTACTCCGTCTGATTCTACACGTGCAGAAAACGTGGCTGCCATGGAAACACTGTATCCAAGAGAGAGGGTGCAATCCGCTGGGGAGCAGCATGCCAGCGTGTGTGTGTGTGTGTGTGTGTGTGTGTGTGTGTGTGTGTGTGTGTGTGTGTGTGTGTGTGTGTGTGTGTGTGTCTGTGTGAGGGATAAGGGACACAGACTGATCCATCAGGGTGGGGTGTGTGGGGTGGAGGGGCGACAGACATTTCTGCAAGGCATGACTGGAATAAAGGAGAAGGAGGAGGTGTGTGTCTGGCTGTGGGTGGGTGGGTGTGTGTGGGTGGGTCGGTGGGTGGGTGTGTGTGTGTGTGTGTGTGTGTGTGTGCCAAAGGGAGGGAGGGAGGAGAGGGTGCAGAGGGAGGTGTTTGTCTGTCCTGGTGGATCGAGCAGGAGACTGCTCCCAAATCCAATTAATTCCTTCTGGATGCATTCATTTGTCTGGTACATCTGACGAGAAGGAGAGAGAGGAAGACAGAAAGAGAGAGACCCCTAAGGTACAGTATTTAGTGTGTATCAATTTACGCCCTATTCCACAAGAGACATTGGTAATTATTTCCATCTCTCTCTCTCTGTCAGGAGAGCGGGGTCGTCTCCAGCTTTCCTCTGACATCTCGGGCTGGGTAATGAGAAAGATAAGGCATGGTCATTACACACACCATCCCAATGACGAGACGCCGGCACCCAGATGTCTGCAATGAGCCTGACATCACACAGGAAGTAGCTCGTGTGTGTGAGGTGTGTTTGAGGTGTCTCGTTGTCTCCACAGTCTGCTGCGTGGATTTTGGTGGATAAGAAGATGTCAGGTGCCCGCCTCATCCACACACACATGTTCACACACTGACCCACTTAAAGACACATGCATGAATGTAAACACAGATGCACTGATGAGAGGGCAGGTGTGTAGTGTACACTCCGCCTTCAAGGCTGATCGCAACAGTTTCCTGTTTTCACCTGCGTGAATCTGAGAAGATCAAGTCACTAATACACACAATACACTTATTGTGTTCCTTGCTCCGGCAGTGGTGAAAGTAACTAAGTACATTTACTCAAGTGCTGCACTTAACTGCAAGTTTGACTTTGTACGTCCCCTTTACTTGACTCCATTTATCTGACAGCTTTAGTTAATAGTTACTTTTCAGATTAAGATTTTAAATTACAAAAAATATGATAAATATAAAACATACAACACGTTATTTAAGATTAAATCAGTTGCTCCCAACCTTTTTGGCTTGTAACAAAAAGTAACAGTGTCACATTTCAGATGTCTGTGAGCTGATAGCAGTTCCACTAAAGAGATGTTTCCCCTCCAGACTCAGATAGTTTCATCTAAATGAACATTTAAGGCTCAAAGAGGAAGAATTAGCCAATATTTCACCAAAAAAATTAATATTAGAAAAGAAGTTTTAAAAATGAATACAGCAGAACTTGTTTTTTTTCTTCTCTCTGCTGCATTAGTCATCTCATGACGCTCCAGATTTATCTTGCGATCCTTTAGAGGGGGCTCGACCCCCGGGATGGGAACTACTGGAGCAAACTGTCTGATAGTATATGAAGTCATTAAAGGTACCTCCACTTCATCTCACACCTGCAACACTAGAATGATGTAATATATAAAAATACATCACTCACAGCAAAATTAGTGCTTTTACTTTGACAGGATTTTAGTCGCAGGACTTGTAATGGTGTAATGATTGGTGTAACTGAATACCTCCACTGCTGTGTTAGTGCTTAATGACTGTATCCTGTTATTCCTGTTGTGCCTCTTCTGCAAGTTACACTATGTCTGTATGTACTATAGGTAAGTAATTTACATGCTTCAGACAGCTGTATAGACATTATAGGATTATATAACAGTCATTGTGGTTTGTATTTCCACCATGTGGGAGTAAAAGCAGGTTTAATTTAAACTGTTACTATACAAGTGGCACATTTAAGTCCCAAGGAATATTACAGTGAGAGGAGATCACTGCTCACTGCTGGGCTGGCACACTGCAAACCTCTGTGGGAGTATCATAGGGATGATATAGAATGTTATATTGATACCACAGGACATACAAATACCATTAAGTCAACATTAAGGCACATTTGAACACCACAGACAACCTCACGGTCCCTGCAGGAACTCTACATCAGCACTTCGCGGGACTTTTTTCGCACGCTGCCGGTGAAGTTGAAGGCGGGACACAAAGTCATAAGACATGCACAGACAAAGAAATATACAAACACCGCAGTCATGGCATGCAGCCCAACTTTGTTTCATTGATTTCAGCCATTTGCGCTCCTGTCGCCCGCGCAGCTGGGAAGGGTCGCACATGGTTACAACATAAAAGAGAGATTTATACGAGTGTGGGAGTGTGGGAGATAAAGAGTTTGAGAAGTGAGACTAAACTTTTATCCCGAGTCATGTGTCAGCGTCATGAGAGGAGACAAAGGAAGAGGAGTTGAAGTCGGGATGTTAATGCGTAAAGTTCGGAAAGAACAAGAGTTGGATGAAGGCAGGTAGGCTGCAAACACATCCTTATCATTAATAACGTGCTGTTATGTTTTTATTATTTTAAAGCAGTAAATCCACGTGTTCTTTATTTTTCGTTTCACAGGAGTTTCTTTCTTTCTTCTTTTTTTTTCTTTTTTTTCTTTTTACAGAGATTGCTCTGTCACTTTTAAGATAAACTGAAGTTTGTAAAGAAACATTTTCTCTCGGAGGACAGTTTTTATTGCTGTATAAAAATGGCTGTAAAAGTAGTTTGTAGGAGGTTCAAGGATGTCTGATACTGATTCTGGACTATAAACGCAACTTCTGCCAGGCACGCTTCAGCAGCTGCAGCCAGTGAGAGATGGCTGCAAGTGTAGCTCCAAGTAAAGTCCAGTAAATTATTCCGACAATTAAACGCTGTTTGGAGAGTCTGCTGGCTGTTTCAGCACAGCCAGGGCTGGACAGCGGCTGCATGGAATGGTAGGCTATGTGTGTGTGTGTGTGTGTGTGTGTGTGTGTGTGTGTGTGTGTGTGTGTGTGTGTGTGTGTGTGTTTGTTTGTGTGCGCGTGCTTTAAACAGTTGTGCATGGAGCAATAATGACAGTTTGTTTGCTTAACCTACAGTATCTGATGGGTGGGAACTTGAGTGGCCAGATGTACATTAGAGTACAATCCAATACGGAGGACAGTTAGTCGAGGGTTAAATGGTGTCTGGCAGTGCGGGGGGGTTGGGGGCACAGGACATGTTTGCCCTGGGGCTCCTGGCAGGATAAACAGGGTAGTGCCCCCATTAAAATTCCATCAGTAGATAAACTGTGGACTGACACAAATTGACAAATCATAGCAGGGTAACAGTTGTAAACATATGACTGTGGCTCTTTAATGGCGGACTGCCTTTCATAACAAACAATAAAAAAAAATGTTCATGTACAAATCATCACATGTCACATATCAACATGTCTGTCAATAACTGAGTCAGTTCAAATAAATCCTGGCGGTTTTCCTGCAAGATGCTTGATGTTGATTTAGGGACTGATAAAAACTACTGGGACTGGGGGAAGGGGGTTATGCGCTATACCCTCCCCTAAACATCTTAAAACAATATAAAAGTATTTAATTGGTTCAACTCAATGAATTATTAATAATTAAAAGACACGAGGCACAAAGAATTTAGCATCTTAATTAATTAATGTCTTAATGGAATAGTAATTTTCACATAGCCACCAACTGTACATAAAAAAATAATTAGCAATTTCCAAATTTAGGGCAATCATAATAAAATGGTGAATAATCTAATCACTTCTTTTTAATAAAGAGATGCTGAGCAAACAATTATTTCAGCCACTGAGTGAGCGAACTGAGCCGAATGTATCATATTGATCTTGAATTATATTATGGGCTAACTTTATATACTTTATATTTTGTGATTTTAGACTGTTAGTCAAATGAAAAATTCACCACTGTAGGTTGTGGGAAATTATGAAATTAATCAAGTAAATAATCTAGAGATTATCCATTACTCCATAATCCTTAGTTTAGCCCTAAATACCTAATTTGATAGAATGTACGAATGAAACAAATGCAAATGGCCTCTCCTGCTCTCCCAAAACAATTCAGACAACCCTCCCTTTAATAACAAGAAAAATACACCTCACTTTTCTCACCACAGCGTTCTCTGTAATAATTTTCATACAGTCCCTTACTGCAGAGTACATTAAGTCCATAAGAGTTTAGGTGGCACAGGTGCAAGAGGAAGAGAATTCAAGTGTAGACAGTGGGAAATAGCAGCAGGTCCTCACAATAAGTGCTTTCCAGCACTGCAGGACACAAGAGACAGTATCACTCCACCTACATATAGACTCAAGCTTCAGTGTGCATTCAGACATTGTGGCACACTGTGTACAGCACATAGAGAACTCATTGTTAAGCACTGTGCTGAAGCAGTTTAGCATGACAGTGGAATTCTGAGTCATAGTGGTAGGTGTTGTTCTGTAGTGTGCTTGAAAAGATAGCGACAAGTTCTGAGAACACCGAGGCTTGGATCATAATTTCTAAAGGTTTACGTGGCAAAGCGTTCAGTCTGGTTTATA